ATATATATATAGGTGACTAATGGTGTGCAGATCCTATTTGGGTATATATACTTAAATGTGATCAAGTGATCATACACACGTTTCAGCATTAAGATCAAACCCTTGTGCAACCCCCTAACCTCAGTCAGCTCAGGCATCTTTACAGCTTACGTATGAACGTTAAACGGATAATAGGTCAAAATAAACCAAAACTGGCATCCCTGTCATCCGCATGGATAGCCGATAGATTCCAAATCCCATGACTACGATAAAGTCTATCGCGCTTAATGAATACGCCACTTCCTGGATGACAGTGTATCCGTTTACCATTCAAGAAGAATAAGACTCGAAGTTCTAAGATTTCTATTCGTTAACACTTACGCACACACAAACACAGCTTGCAATGAACGTTAAACGCAAAGTATCTCCTATATGCACACTACTCGGTGCCGGGGTTTCGGTGGACGTCGGCAGATATATCTCGTCATAGGCAGACGCATATAGCACCAAGTAAGTTTGCGTAGTCTGTTCATATGTAATCCCAATTCTGAACTCAGAGCGCAATGAAGTACCCTGGAATAGCCACATCGTACGTAGACGCATATAGCACAAGATAGAACCCCATGAATTTGCGTCGGATGCGTATGTATAAACCCAATCTTAGACACATAGAGCCAAATGAAGACACTGAAGTAGTACATTAGACAGATACAACACAGAGCAGAATAATACAAATTTGAGACAGATACAGCTATACACTAAAGTCTAGACCCAGGGAACCCAATTAACGCACCTTGAAATAGTCGCCGAAGGACCAGTTGCCCAGCATCTCGAAGAATGTGTGATGGTAGTTGTCTTTGCCCACATCGTCTAGATCATTGTGCTTACCACCAGCACGGATGCACTTCTGTGAATCCACTGCTCTCTTTAGACCAGCCATACTGCTGTTGGGGTCAACTGTACCCAGAAAGATAGGCTTCCACTACGGGCATATAGAGTGTGAGAGAACGAAATGAGAATCTGAAATTTGTTACGAATGGATATACTATATATATATATATATATATATATATATATGCGTGCTGTGTAGAAGTTAATTAAGTTAACGGAA